TCAAGAGAATTATACCTACTCTGAAAAAGCAATTACCGAAAAACCTAGATTATTCCGTAGCCGTACTGAACATTAACCTAAAAACTACTCTACACTTCAAGGCACTCAACCTGACTCAACAAAGATATTCCAAACACCAAATTGTTACTGGTTCAATTATGTGCAGTAGAATAATTAATATCTCTCGTGATACAAGAAAGTGTAAACAAATGTTCCTGTCGTGATTATTTTCATTGTTTAATTGGTCAGTTCTACGAACAAAGTGTTTCGCATCCATGGTAAAACCTGATGCACGAGTAAGTGCAAAGGAATGCCGAACTTTTGTGTCCCGATGGTTCTTATTGATGCATGAGCTATTATAATCATTAGTATGCGCGAAAGTAGTGAAAATGCAATGTTCTCAATCCAAAATATTATTGTTCATATACTTCTTCATTACTCAGAATAAGAGAAACGAATTTCAAATATTTTCATATCTAATAAAATCATCTATGTCCACTTTCATTCTGTTGGGTGTAAATATGAAGTTAACATACAAATAATAATAATTATCCACTGAGAAATATATATTTTTCGTTAAAAAAAACAACATGCAACTTTGTTACTCTATCAAAAAGATTTTTTAGAAATTGCATATCATACATCCTTGATCTTCAATTTTCAATTTCAATTTCAATTTCAATTTATTCAATTTCTCTCAGTATTCCATGTACAAATGTATGCATCTTTGAATCAATAATGATAAATTATATTCATTTCATGTACTATTTGTTATTTGACAATTCTCGGTTACTGAGTGCTCTACAAAACATCGTCACGCTAGACTTGAAGTCTGTCTTGTGATCTCTGTTATGTATGACACCCAAAGCTTACAGTGGATTATTTTGATGTGGCAAGTGATAAATGTTTACTAATACTTCATGGTATTCATATTAAGGAAGGAAGGAAGGAAGATTGGACGAAAGTCCCAGAACTGGTTGATCATAAGTTCTTAATTAATTATATAATTGTGATTATTAAAAAAATTTGTCGGGATGGCTCAATATATATTTCTTTGTTTCCTTTTTGAAAATATTGAAGTTTTTCATTTCTCCAAGATTTTTTGGGAGGGTATTGTAGATTTTTGGCCCGTAGTGAAAAAATAAATTTTGTGTAACAGTTTTTTAAAAAAATTCGACTTTAATATTCGAGTTTGTTACTGATCGAGTTTCTCGTGAGTGTTGTTGTGTGAATTTGTGTTGATCTCGATTAATTCTTTTTAGGCATTGATAAGCACAGATTGATTGGATATTTAATATCTTGAATTCATGGTATAATTGATTTGTAGAGAAAAGTCTAGGTTTTCTAAAAATAATTTTTAATAATAAATTTTGTGCAGTCTGCAATGGATTGAGATGGGTTTTGAATGTTGGTCCCCACGCCGGAATGCAATATTGTATTAGTGATTCTGCAAGTGAGGTATATAGAATGGCTAGATTTTTTTTCGATAATATGTCACGTAATTCAAAAAATTTGTGCATGACAACTCGTAGTCGTTTTGTGACGTAATAGATATGATCGGTCCATTTCAAATGCTGATCTAGGAAGACTCCGAAGTCCGAGGTATTTTATACAACTAGATTTTTCTATAGAATGGCATTTACAATTATCTGTAATATCACAAGAATTAGTATGCAGTTTGAGTTTGAGGTCTTCTGGTTGGTCTCGAATCGTAGGAGAAAATGTTATGAACTTTGTTTTTGTAACGTTTAGGGACAACATGTTACTATTTAGCCATGTATGAGTTCTTTTAAAGTCTCTTTCTGCAGTTTGTTTCATTTCTTTTCACGTTGATCCGGTAAATATTATAGCAGTGTCGTCTGCATAGCATATTACATGACCTTGCATACCGTTTATTTTTGTTATACTATTAATGTACACCAGGAACAGTATCGGACCCAATACTGTCCCTTGTGGTACTCCTGTTTGCACTTCTTCATCATGGCTTATTTTATCCCCAATCTTAACCCGTTGTATTCTTCTTGTTAGGTAGTTCTTCAATAATTCTAATGCGATACCTCTAACACCATAATTGTATAGTTTATTCAGTAATAGTTCGTGATTAACGGTGTCGAAAGCCTTTGCCAGGTCCAAGAAAATTGCAAGACATTTAGATGATTCGTCTAATGCTTTCACCGTTTCATCAACAAATTCCATTATGGCGTTTTCGGTATTTGAGTTTTTTATAAATCCAAATTGTTGTTTATTTATAATATTGTGTTTGGTAAAGAATTCAACAAGTCGTTTTTTGACACATTGTTCGAAAAGTTTTGCAGGATTATTTATAACAGATATAGGTCTGTAGTTGTTTAATTGAGAGACTTTTCCCATTTTAAAAATAGTGGTAATATTTGAAATTTTCCATTGTTGTGGGAGTTGACCAGTAGAGAAGCAGAGATTAATGATATGTATTAATGGATCTAGTATATTGTTATGGATATTTTTGAGTGTTTTGGATGCGATTTTATCCGGTCCAGGTGACGTATTATTTTTTAAATTTGAAATTATCATTATCAATTCGTTTTTAGTTACAGGTTCAAGAAAAATTGATCGATCTAATTTGGTTTCGGAGAGAAAGTTTTCAGGTAAAGTTATTCTACCGATATTTTTACACATGTGTTTACCTATGTTCTTGAAATAGGTATTTGTTTTACTAGGCAGCAAAGTAGTAGATTGACTGCGGCGGCTGATAATTCATAGCCGAGCGTGGCGAAACATATAATGCCCTGTGAAACCTATAACTTTTTTCTCCAAATGATACAAAACCAATTTCGTGTAACTTTTGCATTGAAAACCTCATCATTTTGTGTTCACTCAATGTCAGTGTCAATTTTATCACTAATTTCAATTTGAACATTGAATGGAAGGCTCCAATCTTTTTCTGAGGTGAAATATGCAATTGTTTCAGCATAATTTTTCTTATACAGTATCATTAAGATAACCTCCGCTCGACTTGAGACAGCAATGAAATGATATTGCTGGGTTCTCATATTCCGTCTAGGTCTTGAATCACACGACACAAAATGGGAATCAGGAAATGGAGTTTTATAATAGAATTGAAAAAAGCAGTTGGCGAACTGTGAGCACGCTTTGGAGAAAGAATAATCCATTTTCAGAGAATATAACCTCCAATATATTTATTTGTATCTGAAAGAAGCGGCTTACGAGGGTTTATGTTTCAACATACAACTTTGTAATGCACATTGAATATAGTTCATTGTATGAACATACAACTCTAGAACTCCAAACAAGTAACGGAAATGACATACACGCTTGTATTTCTAATATTTGTTTTCGTTGTAATACTGATAAGTATTTCAAACCCGGTTCAATGTGTAATACAGACAACATAGTCCCTTCCCAGGCAACCAGATGACGAATAGTCACGTCACTGTGACGTCCCTTATTGATGATCTTTCGTCAGAGACGTCACACACCAATTTATGACGTCACTGTGACGTAATTTCGATGAGACGTCATCACGTCATCATTCCGACATCGAGTGAACGTCACTTGAATGGGTGAAATGATACGTCAGTTTCATGACGTTGCAGCAGGGACGTCCTCTCGACGTCCATTTTCTCAGACCATCTCTAATCCATGTATACTTATATCATCATGTGAAAACGTCAGGTTCGTGACGAACCTATATATACAGTATAGGCATTTTCAGTGTCGAAAAGTTTTCAGAAGAACTCGTTTTTTAATGAATTTTACACACTTATATAGAAACATGTACGTCTTGGTAATAGAAGTATAGCTCATTGTACCAAATCAACATACAAGTTTTATTGGAATTATATATACCCAAGAAGTGGGAGAAAACTTTTCCTAAAACTCTGACACACTATATATCTCAGAAACCAATCAAGCTATATATGTAAATATATGAATGGTAATATGGGTGTTCCTATTGAAACGGTTGGACGTACCAATCTGGTTAGTTACGTCATTCAGAAAAGTTTACAATAATTTGCTATTCAGATTTTTTTTGACAAAGAATGCATGAATATACGTTACTCAACAAAGTGAAGCTAAATTCGCAATATCCTTTCCATTGCTATCAAACTATTCTTGGTTTGCTTACATCTCGCCGATACAATTTACATAATTTTTGATACAAATATGAGTAACTGATTTCATTCTGATGGAGATGCGTACTGAAGGATAGCGCTTCTGAATTAATGGACCTGACACCGAAGGGACCAGCAAGCAGACTCAACAATGCATAATCAATATTATATGTCATCAAAGGTCAGTGGTGTTTATCACACCTTGTTTGAGGAAACTTTTTCACGTATCATCACCAAATTCGAACGTAATTATGACGTCATTTCGACGACAGTTCGACGTCACAGTTTGGTGAGTAAATGACGTCAATAAACGTGAGAAATATGACGTCATTGGGCTGTGACCTATTCACGTCATACGACGTCATTTCCTGACGTCACCTTGGTCATTCAACAGACGTAAAAAGACGTCACTGAAACGTCATCTGGTTGCTGAGTTGTAAGAGTATCAGGTCAATATTTTCAAATTTGTAACATACACCTTTGTTATATTGGGCCAGGCTAACGACGAATTGGTCTAAATTTCCCCAGAATCGGAATGGAAATAAAAATGTTACAAGGTGATAGGTTCGGCTGAATTTTTTGCTGGCTGGTTTAATTTTCCAGTGAGTGTATCATCTAATGTCTGAATTCAATTCAAAACTATTTGCGTAATCAAGGTGATGTTATGGATATCAACTCAAGAGTGAATTATTATAAATCACGGTGATTACTTGCTGACTAACAAATACAATGTGAGAAATCAACAAAAGCCATGAAATCGACAATAACTGCTATATACAATCAACAATAACTCGTCCTGTCATACCAGTTATGCTAACTACTATAATACATTCATATTATATTATAGGTATGAATTATTTCTCAAATCGAATGAAACAACAGTTATGACTAGAATCATTTATTTCTCTACTCGATTTTTGCTAGGTTAGACAAGATTATGATGGTGGATTGAAACAGGATGCAAATATACCTATATACATATACTATACTGGTCACTTTGAGATAATTATTTCGAAATTCATTTTCTTATTGCTTGAACCTACTCGTACACTGCCTATTATCAATATCATTAATGAGTATACTACGATAATTGCGGAAATATACCAATGGCCCAGATATCAGAAATTTTATACAGCGAATCGATAGTTGTTTAATATAAAGCAAATTCATGTTAGCTACGATTCTTCTGGATTTCTTGGTTGAATATGCTTGTATGACATAGAAAGTGAAAAATTAACATCTCCACATTCTCGATATTCCTGAATGCATCGAGCCAAAATACATTATAATGGATAGGAAATCAATGTTCCTAATTTTGTCCTTAAATTCTTGCCCTTGAAAGGAGGTAGCAGTCCATGGGTTCAGTTTTTCCCTTCATAGGAACTGGGCCCCTATATTCAAAGTGGAATTGCTCATCAAAGTTCTCACCATCCCTCAGTATGCTGAAAAACACGATTGCTATATTAATTCCCTAGAATTCAATGATGGAAATTCGTTATGGTTCGATACAAATCGCGCACTGAGCTGTTAATGAATCATTCACATCGAACAATCAATCATACTATTACAAAGGGTGAGTAAGTGAATTGATAAGAATAACATGACGAACGATCAGAAGGTAACCGTGATAACCAACTACAAATATACAATTATGTATAAAGTTTTATGTGAACAAGCATAGAAAGTTCATACAACTTATCGACTTCTTGTTAGAAAATGTTTTCTGGAATTATAAAGAGGTGATGAAGACATTAGTCTGATCGTCTTAAAGAGTGACACCTACAAGAAGATATAATATTATGGTAATAGTATCTCATCGAGTTTTATTGATTTCTGGAACATAATTAATCGAAACTAGATCCTCCTATATGGAATCCAGAAGAAATAATTCAATGGGGGTGATTTCGGTGGAAATTTATTTAGGAGGTTGGTCGGAATCCTCATTGTTCAACACGAAGAACCAATTCCTTCATGATAGCGTGAGGATTCTTATATGTAGGTGTACCTCTCAACCTTTTCCAAGACTCGTCTGACCGAAGTCTCAGATGACACTTGTTGTTGTTGCCCTGAATATGCCGTTATTGATTTAACCATTGATAAATGATATATTACCGTTTTTGTCATGATACAATGATCGGTTCATCATACATAATATATAACCCATAGTTCTTATGTAAGAGCAACTTCAAATACCATTGCTGTACCTGTGAGCACTGACGTTCGCAGTATCAAAGGTTTGTTTGGAGGATCTTTATCGTTCAGGATCCTGAAGAAGAATGCCAAAATGTTTCTTTGTCTACGAGTGATGGAGAAAAGGGTTGTTCCAACTCTGGTGGTGCTCCCTGCTCAGGGCTAAAGCTGTTCAACCCTGTTTCTCAAAGGTTCCTTTATCGACACCATTCAACCTACACCTCGATGTCACTCATCCCTCCTCACTGAATATCACAAAGATTAGGTCGCCAGAGCATCGATCATTGATCCACTGGCACATAAGCAGATGTCCACAAATTAACATATCTTTGCACATAGTTGCACACGATATACTGTCATCTCAGTGACTGGAACAAATATGTCCACAAAATTCTCCATCTACAGCAGTAGGGCTTGTCCTACACGCATCATGGTGAGTTGAGACTCTGAGGGAGAATAAAAAAAGGAGAGCCAAGAGAGGCCGATGAGAAAGATTGAAAACTGGAGGGGGGTGAGGATACCATCCAAGAGACAAGTTCAAGGATATATCCAGCTAGGGTACCTCGGATTTCTGAGAGCTGATGTAGGTGACCTTATTTTTATTCATATGTGGCTGAGCGTAACTATTCGATCCTGAAAGCTCGACTTACCTGTAAACATCTTTGGTTACGTTTATTTTCCCAGGGACCCCAGTAGTTTCAGTTCTGCTAGTCAGATTGACAGTGTTCCCGTACAGACAGAATCTCGGCATTCTCTGACCAATTACTCCTGTTACAACTTCACCAGCGTGAAGCCCTATAGTGATCCTCTGAAGAATAAAATATCCAGTCAGGATAATCATAAGAACTTTATTATAACGAAAACTTTGATGTGAACCAGCAACTATTTATTTATTTATTATTTATTTATTTCTTTATTGAAAATGTTACTTCCAGTCAGAATCAAGTTCTGGTATAAGGAAGTATAGTTAACAATAATACCTAAAACTATACAATTATAATAAACTGATGAATAATAACATATTTGAAAACATTAATTATTAAATTTTGACAAATCATTTCATATTGCTGAGCAAAAATCAATTTGAATATGAATCAAAAGTAAGTCATCTATTTCGTTCAGAAATGATAAATTTCTTAAGATGGTATTTGAATTTTATTGTATTTCTGCAATTTTTTATATTATCTGGTAATTTGTTATATTCCAAGAGAGCAGCGTGGGTGAATCTTTTTTGGCCTATAGAAGTATTAGCGATATCAAGATGAAATAAACCATGTTTATTATATCAACAACAACAAATGAGACAAATCGTATTGTCTAGAAAAATTATGATACACTTGTATTTGGTTTATTTTTAACGTTTTCATGATAACATTATTGAACGACTGAGGTTTCCCGAGTGGAAACACTGAACAATGTGAGCTGAAAACACATGATTAGTAAGTATACCCAATATCAAGTACAATTCATAGTATGTATTTTTGAGAATATATAAGACAATACGCTTCATCATATTCTAAGTACATATATTTTTTCTACACTTTTGACAGTTTAGATTTTAGTATCTTAATATCATTTTCTGTTATGGAAGAGAATTGAATTCGTTGATTGTGGAGAATGTTTCAATCTTGTAGATTCCATTATTCATTGACTAATCAGTGATTACCCCAATTGGAATTAAAAAACATCATGCACTCGCACCATCAGATCGAATCATAAATGAATTTTGATGGTGTATTCTTCATGCCCTGGGAAATGAAAGATGGCGATACTGGCATTCTCTTGACTCTGGTTGCTCGATAGCAACAAATAGTATAGCTCCCCACCGATGTTCATTCAGATCATACTCCACGTTTGAGCATTTGTGTCGTGTTGTTTCACGGTACATATTATCTTGTTCAAATGATCCAACTTTGTAGAACATCAAACCAGATCTGATCAAATATTAACAGCTCCTCGGCATTATAACATTCAGTAGGTGTTCAACAAAAAAATATCACATAAGTACACCTTCTCAGTGTAAATGCGTTCAGATAACACAGATCATTTTTTTCAAATATAATTCAGCATCAATAATAATCATGTAGTAACTACTCCGGCTCAAGAAACACAAACGAAGTCTTCAATCAACAAGCGCGGAACGATCATTCTGCTTAAATTAGCACTTCTTCAGGGTAATTTTTGATTGGCTTTGTATTCAATACACTGTATGGAAGACGTATCCATAACATCTCACGATGGTGAAAATGAAATAAATGCTGGTGCTAATTTTCACGAAAACAATCAGGACCTGTGCGGACACTGGATGATGAAGTCATTTGAGTGTGAGTTGATATACAGGGTGTAAATTTGAAAACTTTCAATGCGAATATCTCGCGAAATGAAAAAGTTATAAAAACGCCGCTTGGCAAAAATGCTGAAGAGTTAAGGGGAACTAGAACCACCATATTTCAGTGGAGGGATGAGTCACCCTGTCAGCGGCGCAACACACTCCAACTTTGAAATGTCAAATGGCACTATCTCTTTTGTGATACCTCAAATGAACGGTCTCAGTCAGTAGTATTCACCTGTTTAAGACTTTTTTCCCACCTACTACAGGGTGTACGAAAAACATTAATTCGAGAGTCTAAATTTGAAAATTTCAATGCGAATATCTCGCTTAATAAAACAGTTAGGAAAACGCCGTTTGGCACAAATGCTACAGAGTTAGGGGGAACTGACTGAGACTGTTCATTTGAGGCATCACAAAAAAGGTTGTGCGATTTGACATTTCAAAGTTGGGGTGTTTCGCGCCGACGGGGTGACTCATCCCTTGACCGAAATATGGTGGTTCTAGTTCCCCTTAACTCTTTAGCATTTTTGCCAAATGGCGTTTTTCTAACTTTTTTCTTTCGCGAGATATTCGCATTGGAAGTTTTCAAATTTACACCCTGTATATGACATATATGTTTCTCTGTATGAGACGCCTTATCGCCGCTTTGATTGTTTGGAGTGGAACGAGAGCAAATCAACTATCGTTTCAATGTATTCTTGCCAGATAATTTTTATTCAGAGAAATTGGAGGTGTCTGGTAAAAAAATTACTACAGGAGCAAGTATAGGTACCTTTAAGTAGCAACCTACATGGACTAGGTAACTATATGAGATTTCAATTCGCTAAGATTCAACTCACCACTACTTGTCCATCAAAGACTACGCTTTGGCTTCTTTCCATCATGTCAAGTGCTAGTCGAGCTATATTTTTGGCATGAGTGGCACAGGGTTCTGGGATTCCACTTACGGCCATGTATTTATCGCCAACTGTTTCTACCTGGAAATCATTCAATATTCATGACAAGAATCAGATATTCATTGTTCTACTCTGTATCATAATGTACCCGTTTAATTATTTCTGAGTTGAATTATTACTATGAGCTATTGGTCACATGTTGCTCATAGATCTCATTACTTGTAATTCAATTCATCTACTCACATTCTGCCTGCATTATTGTTCTTTGTAGTGAAATGAATCTAAATATTTTGAACCATCAGTTCCTGTTGACATCGTTTTTTGAGTACATATTCGGATTTAGAGAGACTAGTAGTTTTTGCGTTTTTTATATTATTATTTCGTTCTTGGATATAGAAATAAATAATTTCGTGAAGGATCATTCAAATTGAATGATTCATCGGTTGAAGGAACTTAATTATTTTACTTATTAAAACTGGGAATATGTCGTTACGAGCATCAAACTACGATTCCATCATGTGAATTTGAAGATTGGTAGATGGAAAAACAGGGTGGCGGAATCGTTTCCGAGAACCACGTTTCCGAAATCATTTTTTTCGAATTACAAATTCTCGAAAATTTTCGAAAGTTACTTTCGGAAGGTCTATTTTTCGGCAAACATCTTTCCGGAAGTTTCTATTTCGTGATCACTCTTTTCGAGAAACTGTTTCCTTGGAAACGTTCTTATTTCTCCATTCAGAAGGACTGTATTTTTTCTCGAAATCAACCTACCTAGCTCACCTATCTCACCGAACTACACCCGAGGCGATGCCTCAAAAAGTGTTAGAAATACAAAAATTGAGAAAAATACCATACTCATGAATTCTAGTCATCAAGAGAATTATAATTGGAGTTGAACCCATGTTTGCTCATACTCTCTGGAGCTGTTTTGAAGGAGTTCTTCAGCAATCTCAGTTGACGAACAAACACTGCTGAGTCATGGCTTATATAGGGGATATTCATATTTTATTGATGACGCTCAAAAATCGTCTCTATAAAATTTTCTCGAACAAAATTAGGCAGTAGCGATGCTAGACGGAACTAAAAATTGAGGAAGCTTTTTTTTTTTAGCTGAGCTCCGGAATATACAGCGTGTCTCTCTTTGAATAGTCTCCCTCCCCCCTCTACATCACAGCTATTGGTCATGCGATTTTCATCAAATCTGGACCGATATGAATGACCATCATTATGATCAGTTTTTGGGAGACGAACATGATCTTGGATAGTGCCGTGCATTTATATCAAAATGAAAAGGGGTGAATTTGAAGAAATGCATATTGGGCATTTTTTTACCGGGAAACTCACCTCATAATTTTGAATCTTATGATTTCAAACCCCGATATACTCGCCCCCATATATGTAAATTTCCATGTAATTTTTTCGAATGGATTAAAAAAACATCTGAAGTTTGATGAACAATAATATGAAGTTGATTTGCCTGCAAAAAATTCATAATGATAATTTTGTATCATATCGACCTATTTTTTCTTTACTATAAAAACGTACGGCACTATATCCAAAAGAATGTCCGTCCCTGAAAATCTGACCATATTGATGATTATTCATAACGCTTCAAATTTGGTGAGAATCGCACGACTTATATGACTATAATAGATGGATTAAACTTGTTTTCAAAAAATTGTTGTTATAATGAAATCTGTTTCGAAGAGTTGTTGTTCAAAAAATTATTTTTCGAAAATAAGAACATTCGAAACTTTATATATAAAAAAAATATTTTTAAAAACTTTCCGTTCGAAATTTTACTGTCGAAAACTACTTTCCTAAACAAAATCTACAAAGCAGGTAATGCTTGCTTGTCGAATAATCACTTGAATTGATGAAGTCTCCATTTTTCAGAATTTGAGAATATGAAATTGAAATTCAGAATTCAACTTCATGAAGAAGCACGGTATAGACAGAAGTAATATTGGATTACATTGAATGCACTGAGAGAAAATTTTGAACAAAACAAATAATATAATAATAAGAGCATTCTTTCAAGACATAAGCTAGATTGGGTTACTCATATAATTTCGCACAGAGATTGCGAAGTCATCTCATTAAATTGGACAGATATTCAAAAGATTTTTGACAAATTGAGCAATATTCCGTAATTTCGAGAGCCAAAAAAGATAATGTCTTTGAAAATATGAGTTTTGATTCATTGACCTTGTTTTGATTTCTTCAACAAATCCGTTTCTTCAAAAATGAAGATATCATATTACCTTGCACAGATAGTCCGAAAACCTCTCCCATCTTCACACGTTGTTTATTCACTCTGAACACCTGATGTCTAGAGTACTGCATATCAAATTTGCAAAGTGCATAATATGCGATTCAATTGTGTAGTGATGTCCCGCTTGGATATTTGATGAGCATTTGCCTCAACCCAATCGCATACCAAACAGTGCAGAAATAGTGAGAAAGTATATTTTGCAGTCTGAACACGTATCAAATAACGTCCTTAGACGGACAAACATAAAAATCGTTGATTTGTGCCTCTGACAGATACCATCGAGTTGCATCCTCATTTCTAACTTTCATTGTTGCTTTTGCTGCCTCTTAGAAATATACATGAGAAAAAATACTCTTGAAAATGAACTACTATCATTAGGTACTTCTTCGGAGGAGTTGAAAAGTTTTAGCATTGATGTCTTGGGTACGAAATTCTCTGACTTGATAATAAATCTTTTCGTTTTCGTCTATTTACACTACCCACTAACCTAAGTTGATCAAGAATATGTTACTCATCGGATTTTCATTGATTGATCTTGAATTAACAATTTTCATACTCAAATTTTAGTAGATACCATGTTCTGTTCATATCAACTTGATGCTTTTAGTAGCTAGTCGATGTAAATGGATATATAGTTCCGAAATCGAATGAAGAATTGGTGAAATAAATAATGTGTAATACAATATAGTGAGAACACGAATGTATGCAAGAAAGTTAATTGTATATACCTATACCAATCAAACTTGTGTTTGTAGATAAACTCGTACAGGTGGAATAGAGATACTCATCAAGGACGAGAGAAAAATATTGAGAAAAGACATAGTAAAATCAGAATCAGCCAAACATACCCACTCAAGAAAGACAATATATGGCGAAGTAGAATAATATCAAAATCATATATGAACAGGAGATAACAACCAGAGAAGAAGAAACTTATAATGGGCTTATATCACAAAAAAAATGTATTTCATAATTCGATAGAACTCACCCAAACTAGCTCACCACCGCAAACCGTTTCTTGCTGTGAGCTCCCTACGTTTTATAAAAAATTATCAAAATACCCGATTTTTCGGACCTCTGAAAACGAGGCGATGATGTGATTTCAAAACCCTAATACTGAAACAAGACTATTCCAGGCAGAGATGAATGATACATGATTTCTGACAGAGTGAATTAGCGCGAGATCACAGTTGAAAGAGTTAATATATCAGTTGCCTCAGTCTCCGTCGGGCGTTCGGTATTTTCTTTTAACTATGGCGAGATGAGGTTTCTACGTCACAAGAGGGTCCGTTTTCAGAAGTTACTATTATTTATGTCCAAAAATAAAACATTCCAGTTGATTTTGCGATCGAATTATGTCGTCAATCATTATTTATGTATAAAAGGAGCATTATAAACAAGGTTTGAGTTAAAAGTTCTACTAAGGTGTACACGCCCATTGGCTGGCATTTTCTTGAAAGGGGGGACAATAGTAAGTATCGATTTTTGTTCAGTTGATACATATTCATTCGTGAACTCATGTTGCAGAGAAATGTCAATATATAGACTGAACCAAAAAGACTAGGTATTTGCAAAAAAAAATCATTTCAATATTGAGAACGGGATCAGATCCATCCATTCCAAAACGTTCAAAAATGAAAAGTGGAAATTCAATATTATCTATATTCCCCTCATTCATCAATAATTCTTCAAACAAGGTTGACAGGTTGTTCTGCGTAAAATTAGTTTTTCTTCCGTAAGAACGTGAATAGAGGTTTCCTCTTCTCCTTCTTCATAAAACCATTATTCAGAATTAGACTATTATGGAACATAGGTTAGTAGTCACAATACTTATCACTTGATACTACCTAAACGATATTGCTTCATGCATCGACTATACACTTTTCATAGCACGAAATTATTGCATAGGTATACTGATAATTGAACTCAAACTTGGACCTATAACCTCTCTTTGATATTTACTAAGTAAGTAGTAAGTCACCTGAGTAGTGACCTCGATGGAGCTACTGAGAGCAGGTTTCCGAAACTGTTTGATAAAATTCATCATCAGCATCTAAAACTAACCTTGTAGATGTCTGGGTTGACCTTGGGATCCGTTAAATCATCGAACTTGGTGTAGAGCTCATTCAGCATTCTGATGATTTTCATAGCACCCTTGGAGTCGGCATTGGCAGCGCAATAGTCTGAGAAGCCGACTATGCCCGAAAACAAAATGGTAGCTTGTTCGTATTTGCGAGCTGGAACCGGTCTTTGGTGTCTGAGCTCATTGGCTACAGTGATCGGTAGGACAGAGTAGAGCAATCTGAAAAAACAAAAAAAATTAACAATCATGATGCAGAACCACAAACTCAGAGTAGAATGAAATGTACGACAACTCGGCGAGTGAAATACTTTGAAGATCCTAGAGGACGGTCAATAAACTGAACAACAATGGTAGACAACGAGCAGGAAACAACCACTTTTTCAACCACTGCCGCTAGCTATAATATTGCATCGCATTATCCAGACAGTGGCGTTCCCAGGCGTGAACCTTGGGATAGGGGGAATATTAACTTTGTTCACATACGGCCACTATAGAAAATACGCAAGAACACACAAAATACAGCCTCAGTAAGTAGCTCTTCACACACAGTCAGCACATCGTACAGTTTTCGTTCATTCCGCAAGTATAAGTATGCCATAATCGCATATGATCGCCGTACACAGCGAGTGACATTACTGTCAAAAATTATAATTCAGACTGTTTGTTCTAACTGTTTTGATTTACCATATGGCAGTAGGTGAAGTATAGTAAATTGTGCATGTTGTGAAGCAATTACGAACTCATGGAATTGCAATTCCATTCGTGCGTAATATGCTTCTTACAACACATATTACGTAATAGACTAATTCCAAAACGTATTTTTATTTATGACAAGCTTCCACCCGTGGCTTCACTCGCAACAAGGCCCTTACATAAAAATCATTACTTTCCAGTAGAACTGCATCAATGTGATTCAGTATTTAAAAATGACTACATACAATGTAGTTTCAGAAACTGAAAACATGTTTTATTGAAACAATTTACTGAAACAAAAGTTAAGATGTATCTCACTACAACAAAAACATCTATATGTATTGCTTCTACATGGATTATATGTTGCGCCCTGTCTGTAGATGGAGCAGTTCAGGTAGTATTGAATTTATGCATTTTGGGTGCCCAGAAGACTGAATCGTCAATGTCATTCGTGGTCGAGTCCCTGAATAGCAAAGAATCTGAAGGGTATCTCCCATGCAGTAATGAATTTGCGCCTCCAAAGTGGTCACCTGATGTACGAATAGATATTTTTTATTCTCATTGTCAGGATTTTGCAAAATAGAAACATGCATGACGAAAGTTGCCAAAATAAGTATTTCTTGCAACTTTCGTCATGTCTAGTTTGCAAAATTCTGGTGTGCATGCCCAATTTCCTACTATCAATTAATTATTATACGAATGAAGTATTTTTCTAATGACATGAAATTTGGAATTACGGCCGACCTGTCGTATTACATTTTTACAGAGACTACCCGAAATTTTTTAACATTGTCAAGACGAACTATAGAGCCTTAAAAACGCCCCCTAGTTTTCCCCCAGAGGTACGCCACTGCCTTCTGATGAGTATTTCATGATTTTCATGAAAACATAGAGATTGCAAGTCTGTGCAATGAGCCATGTTGGGCAGAACTGTCACTAGACAGAAATCCGAAGTTCACTGATTCTGCTGAGAGATAAAGATATCTCAAGGAGCATTTCTGTAAGTCTTTCATTCGTCCTTTTACTCAAAGACGTGATTCAGAAATAAACTGTACGACTCAGAAGGGAATATAAGCATCTATTTTACCACCATCATATACCATCTTCGTCATACACTTAACCTAATGACCAAATCATTGACCTCGTATAGTCGATTCCTGGGAATGTAAGGTGTATTCCAAGAGCTCTTTAACCCTTATAAAGGGCGATCCAATTGATTTCCGAAAAAATGGATAGATTATTTAGAAATATCAAGGACATACTAGTTCATATACCCCCAAGTAGGACTCGTTATATGGAACTAAAAAGCTTTGAATCAAATCAGGCGATAGTGTTTTCGGTGGAGAAGTATATGTATGTCAGAAATTCTGTGAGTTTGTACCATATCTTCCTTCCCTGGCTCATTGTTGGATAGAATATTATTATAATGAGGGCTAACATTCTCAGTCCCAGTGTGCATATTCAGAACGTGAGGTCAAAGTCCAAGTCAAAAATCTGGAAGCATTAAAGGCTGATGCATATTTCATCAAAAATTTTTGGAAAAAAATACGTAGGATATTCGAACGAATAAATAACTATGAAAACTCCAAAAACGATAAGATTTCCACAAAATTCTCAAAGACACGATATGTTTTTCTAAGACAGTAGCTTAGTCAGGTGATATACTGGTACAATGAATTGAACTAGCCTTGGCTTGCTTAACTTCTATATATTATCCTACCTTCATTTTCGGAAATTAGGTTCTATATATCTACATCAAACTACGGTGTACCGGATTAACTTGAAAGGGTTGATAGCAAATACATATTATTACCTACTAAGAAAACAAATTCAACAGTGGTGAACTATTGAGACCTAGTCGATCGTTAAGTGAAATGTCAGAAATTTTGAGTTTGTTGATTTCTAATGATTCAAAATGATTGAGTTTCATTGATTATCATCAAAACTATGGTTTTCTTCCAATATTTGGTAGGCGTATGTTGAATTTGTTTTCTTTTTCAAAAAATTCATCCTATGTTCTTGGGTGCGCTGATTGAACGTAAGACCTGTTTGACCGATATATACCTCATTTGCATATGAGCATACAACTCAGTCATACAATTTTTTTCTCCCCAAATACATTGGAACGGACCTATGGTTCACTTCATTTTACCCTGTATGTTGAAAGCGATCTCTAATCGAAGTCGCCTATCTCACTAATACCATACCAATTACTTATTATTCGATCAATATTGAATCACTTTGCGGGATTAATTTCATATCATGATATACATATAAATGGAATGCATGTATTAAACAGAAATCAAACGTATAAGGAAGTCCTCATAATAGATAATATCATAATTGAAGAACTCACAAATCGAACAGGTTATTGAAGGAATGCGTTAACGATATTACTTCATTGCATGATTAAAAATATATAATCATATCAATACCTTACCTGATTCTGTTGAATCCAAATCGAATCTATAACCATTAGTGTAGCAATATAATATTCATTATATCTAATAGTTGCAATACGTTTCTAATCTGCTGGTAAAAAAAATAATTGACATTTTTATCAGAATGTTACATGAAGCATATTACAGTGTCCAACGAAGCATGCATAAAAAATATAACACATTCTTGTTGAGATAGAAATCCAATGGTGTTTGTGACTGCATTAAGTTGTTTTAAAATCATTTATTTATTCGCATGAAAAAACTGGTTTTCATTCAATTTCCATAATAAAATCGACTGATCACTAATAAAAACATCCTACCCTAATGAACAAAGTGAAATTAACCTTTTGAATGGTATTACAAAGTTCACTCGAATGTCAAATAAGAGAACGATGGTCTCCTTTGGACTATACCCTTTCAACTTCAATTTCGGAATTGGTAAGTTTCATTTCGGAGATGGTGAACTTGATTTCAGAATTGGTCAGTTCGATTTCAGGAATGGTAAACTCAATTTCAGAGGCGGTGAGTTGAAATTCAGAAATAGTCCATTCAATTTCAGAAATGGTAATTTGTATTTCAGGAAATAAATCGTGATTTTTTCGACAAATTTTCAGTTGCATGTGAAAACAACAAACCATGTACAGTATATTTAGATTTTTAAAAACCATAAAATAACATCTCTTCCATATAGACATGTCTTCCATTCAAATCGCAGATGGATAGTGGCGTTGCACATGATTCGAAAGAATTCAAACACTTTTGAGGTATATGTTCTCAGTGAATGACCTGAACATGCTTCAAGACATCACAGTCTGAATTCTATTTGGTTGAGCAATCTGTTCGGATTCTCGGCTATGACCCTTTGGTGATGATCTTGCAAGAAGCTCCTCACTAATGACTTGAAGGAATTCCATAATATGTTCAATAATTAATGGGTTCAACATTGGGGGCTGTAATGTGCCTATCTGCAAATAGAAACACCTTGAAATCCTTCCTTCATACAAATCTCCTCTATATATTCTTGAATGTGCAGGTGCATTATCCAGAACTACCACTATGTTATGATAATAATAATAATAATAATAATGATAAGTCTTTATTTACCGAAAACACTCACAGTAGGTTTCGTCAAATCAGAGTCCGGCAGTTAGTACAAACTACACATTGAAAATATAAATATTAATAAGATACAAAATAGTTCCAAGTTTTGATAATGAATACATACAAGTGTGTAGCAACCTATTATTCATTCTGGGTGAAGATGTTAGTACATTTAGTGGTTATTCATTGCATGAACTCTACAAAGTTATAAAAACATTTTTCCACCAAGTATTCTTTCAAAGCTTTTCTGAATGCTTGGTAAGATTTCAAGCTTTTCAGATTATCAGGGAGTTTATTGAAAATTTCAGGACATGCATATTTTGTTGATTTTTTGGATTTACTTAAGTTGCATTTGGTTAGATGTAGTTTCCTCGCATTTCTTGTTGGATAATTATGCACATTGCTGTTTTTAAGGAAGTTATTTTCATTTTCATACATATAGCATGATATTTTGAATATATAGATGCTCGTCAGGGAGAGTATTTTGTTATTTTTCAGGACTGTTCTACATGAATCTCTGTAGTTCATGTTAAAGATTATTCTAATTATTCTCTTTTGCATAGTAAAGACTCTATGGACGTCCGTAGATTGGCCCCAAACGACTATGTTGTAGCTCATTACAGAATATGCCAAGGAGTAATATGCTGTTATCAGATTTCTTGTATCTAATTCCTTCTTCAAGTTTAAAATGGCGAATGTTGCTTCGGCGAGCTTGAAACATATACCGTCTATTTCCAGGTAACAGTTCCTAGAAAAGTTGTGCTGTCTTTTCTCTCTATACTTTGTATTGTAAGAGTTATTCCACTGTTTGTATTGGAAAAATATACACATACCGATTTAGTCCTGTTTACCATAAGTGAGTTTTGTTGACACCAAAACTCAAATTTTTCAATGGTTCTTTCTATTTTGAGTTCCAGCTCTGTTATGGTTGATGCCTCAATTATCACAGAAGTATCATCAGCGTATATAAAAATCTGACCTTCT